TCTCATCATTTCTCTCTCTCTCTCTCTCTCTCTCTCTCTCTCTCTCTCTCTCCCCCCCCCTCAGAAATCAATAAAGTATTTAAAATTTTTTTTAAATAAAATAAAAATCTAGGAAATGAAAACAAGTGGGTTGTTTCAGTCATCCACTGCTCGTAAAATAACTACTCCAAAATTTAGTGGCTTTAAACTGCAAGTGTATTTCTCATGATTGTGTGCTGTTCTGCTCCCCATGGCACTGCTGAGCTGTTGTTATCCACGCAGTTGCATTCAGGGAGAAAGCAATAAAGTATTTTAAAATTTCTTTAAATAAAATAAAAATCTAGGAAATGAAAACAAATGGGTGGTTTCAGTCATTCACTGCTCATAAAATAACTACTCCAAAATTTAGTGGCTTTAAACTGCAAGTGTATTTCTCATGATTGTGTGCTGTTCTGCTCCCCATGGCACTGCTGAGCTGTTGTTATCCACGCAGTTGCATTCAGGGGATCCCGTACATTTATCACATTTTAAAACGTAAGTATGCACCCTGGCCGGTTTGCTCGGTGGTAAGCATTGGCCCACAGACTGAAGTGTTGCAGGTTCGATTCCCAGTCAAGGACACATACTTCAGTTGCAGGCTCAATTCCCCGGCTCTGGTTGGGGTTTGAATGGGAGGCAACCAATTGGTGTGCCTCTCTCACATTGATGTTTATCTCTCTCTACACCCCTCCACCCTTCCCTCCACTCTCTCTAAAAAAATCAGTGGAAAAAATATCCTCGCGTGAGGATAAAAAACAAAAAAGTCAATATGCATATGTAATATAATTGAATTTCTATACATAAGTGTAAGATAAATGTTCATTAAAATGATGGATAGTAGGATTGGGGATAACTTTTGTAATGCCTACATTTTACATTTTTTTCTGTAATGAATATTAGCTGAGTTATAATAAAACAGCTCTTACCGCACAGGGCTGCAGTGTGTGTTGACTGGGACATTGATTCCCTTATTCAGTGAATATTTATTAAGGATCGTTTATGTGACGGTTTGTAGAAGCTACACAATGACTGGCCAGTGACGAAGACTCAATAATTGGTGTCACCCAGACTCTGCCTTCCAGGAGTGCACAAGGCTGGCTGCTCAGACACAGGTCTGTGTTACTGCTTTGTGCGTTCTAAAAATCTAGGAAATGGCCCAGCCGGTGTGGCTGAGTGGTTGAGCGTCAACCTATGAACTAGGAGGTCACAGTTTGATTCCCAGTCAGGGCACATGCCAGGGGTTGCCAGCTCAATCCCCAGTAGGGGGTGTGCAGGAGGCAGCGGATCAATGATTCTCTCATCATTGATCTCTCTCTCTCTCTCTCTCTCTCTCTCTCCCTTCCTCTCTGAAATCAATAAAAATATATTAAAAATAATTT